ACATGTACAGAAGTAAGAACTTCATCAACAACTATAAACCATCTCAGATGAAATTGTGCTGCTCCACCTTCCTCCTTCAGAGTACCTTTATTTACTTTTTTGGCTATGACTGTATTTATAACATTTATTAGGGGGGTATTGGCATAATTATTTTTTTTTGCGGTTTCGGCTATTTTTCAGATCAATTACTTGGATTTTGTGCCAAAAAAATTTGGTTTTTCAATTTTGGCATTCATTGAGGTTTGTGGATTTCCTTTTTTTTTCAGCATTTTGATTTTTAGTTTTCACCAAAAATATTAAAGGTCTTTGGAATTGGTATCCAAGGTGGATTTCAGTTTTCCTATTTGGGTTTCAGTCACCTCCACTGATCTCAAACAGCCGCAAAACCTCTCTATGCTCCTCTTGTCACCACTACATTGGATTGATTAGCATTTTGATATTGTTTTTACTTGGAAGAAAAAGTTACCAGTTTGATGGTTTTGCAGGCGGCTTTTGGTTTTGATTGAGTTTTTTTTGCAGTTTTGCAGTTTATGACGATTGTTTCTATGGTTAAATTGCAGTTTCTAATAGACCCTAATGCCCCCCTGCAATTATTATGAACTCCCTTACAAACAGAATGCAGGTCAAGTGAATGGTGACCAACTCCATGCGAAAACCAATATCACACAAATTGCAACATTGGTTTTCAAGTGCAATTTAAAGCAGAATTCATGAGTCAAGTAATGGATTTTCCTTGAATCACATAATTGAATAAAAAAAGAAAAAAAAAAGAAAACAGCATTACTTATAGTTGTTACATATACGTAGATGCAAAACAATATCACTTAGCCTTGTTTTCAAATCACAATTCCATGCTAAATATCTCCCTTTGTTAACCAATCAGAATGCAAGATTTTATTCAGTGATGCAATTCTGGGTAATACCAGTTAGCAAAACATTGTTACTCACTGTAATTCAAGAAACTGAAACCACTTACTCTGAAATTAGGTCTGCAGTTATTGCTATTCTTTCAACAAAAAAACAACCAAACTTTCCTTATCCTCACCAATAATAACTGCACAAGTGTGAGTCCTTGTAATTCTTTTTCTTCACTATCAGCTGACAAGAGCAGCTTTAACTGTGTCTCAGCCAATGACACCATCACTTGACATAAGCCTCTAGATGTATCCTGGTGAAATTACAAAAAAGAGAGCAAATTAAGAAGAAGCTAAAAGTGTACCAATTGTCCTTGACTCCCAGCAGTGAAATAATCCTTTAGCTTCCAGATCTGCACTAAAAACAATTCATGAACTCACTATATCTCCAGACTGCAAAGCTGTTCTTAAAGCTTCGCTAAGAGTCAGAACACTTGAGACAAATTTCCACATGTAACTGGGATATCTATTAAGAAAAAAAAAAAAAAAACTACCATTGAGTTCATAATCAACAGTGGGAGACACAGTACCGCTTACAAGTAGTGCCCTTGACTTTGGTTTGAGAGGCCCAGGTTTTGTCAAACACTTTTATCATGTGCCTCTGGCTCGGGGGATTGGGAGACCACCCTCTGTGTATTTTTGTTTTTGACATTAAACAAATATATCTTATTAACCAAGCGTGAGGGCCGTACTGGAAGAATATCGGCCTGAGGCCTTGACAGTATGGACCTTGCTGCGCTCAGTCCATACAAAAAAGACCGAGGGCTGTTACTCTTCCAGTACAGTCCTGAGCAAGCTTGGTTAATAAGAGATTTATTATACGACTGAAGTTCAAAGGGACACAACTACGGTGTCATTCGGGACCATTCGGGACAGTGCCCGGTCCAATACTGAGAGAATATTGACTGGCAATTGAGCATTTTGATTGGTTGATTTTGGGTATTGGCCCTCTGACTGCCCGTGTCGTGCTCCATAAGACCTGGTTGGATTACTCCATGGTGTTCTTGGGCAAACACTTTGCTCTCACATGCACAGTGCCTCTCTCTCCACCCAGGCCCCGGTTGTTTGAAGGTCAGATAATGCTATCCACTGGATAAAACTCTACCCCATGGATAACACTATACATTTTGCTATCACTTATCCATTGGAAAATGATTTATTTCAAGGCTGTAGTTTAACAGCCCCCGGCGGCCCTTGGCATCTTACTTTTGTTCTTGGGCGACTCAGGAATTCTAGTTTTTTCATACAAAGTATATGCTAGGCACCCTGAATTTCACAGTTTCAGAGCACTGGGTTCCAGTCAATTTTCCTTGGAGCACAGCCTTGTATCCATTGGATAACATAACCTGCCCTTCTTCAACTGGGCCCAGGAGAATGAATGGGTACAGGCGAATTGTCAGGGAGCCAGATAGAATGCTGGAGGTAACCTTACAAGGAACTGGCATCCCATTCAGGGGGGAGTACAGGTAGTAATATCTTAGTGAGTTCAACACACTTAAATGGTTTTGCAAAACTTGCTTACTTCATTCCAGATGGATGGGTGGCCACCTCTACTAACAAATCCACGCTAGTATCAAATAACTCAGGATTGTGAATAGATTCAAACACAAGAGGCAGGGCATTGTCAAGGTCAGGGACTGTTACACCAAACTGGACCCAACTGATCATACACTTCAAAGCCTGTGTGGTACAAAATGACAAACATCATTGGTGACATTTTCTTAACAAGCTCAAAATTTACCACCTTACACAGGGCATCAGACAGGATGCAGTGGTGGGCATCCGCATAATTCGCCTACTTCCGCATCCTCCGTATCCTTGGGACATTTTTCTGCATAAAACTAGAAAATTTCTACATATAAGCGAGAAAGCAACAGCTTAGCATCCTCAGAAGCAAAAATAGCGAAAAGATTGATCATTTTGAAGAAGTTACTTTTCACCCAAAACAGCGACGGAAACACGCCTTTCGTTCATAAACAATTTTAAACCACCAGGCGTTCCATGCATCTTCTGGTGATGGGCCTGGGTTCTACTTTTGTTTTAACATTTTGGGACTTCTGGTGTCCAGTTTTCCTCATCCGATTTAATGGCTGTTTACTAAGCTTTGGACAAACTCAACAACGAAAACGATGAAAAAACTGCATTGAACGAAGACATACCTGTCCACGAATGGCAGTAAAAGGTCAAACATGATTGTCATAAAGGACTAAAATTCTTGACAAGACGTTAATGTGTATTTTTTACGTTGGAAAAAGCCAAGGGAACAACTTTATTAAGATTTAGAAATTGCTGCATAATCTGGCGTCTTTTCCGCACAATCGTCACTTTCTTTCGGGGATTAAAATTAGGGGATTATTAGTTGATCTGATACCAAATTCTCCAAACTAATATCATAAGGACTGTAAGACAGACAATAAGGAAAATTGCTTAATGAATTAATTCTTGGGATTGAAAGAGTTAGCATGGTCTAACTAACAAAACAGTTCTCAATGGCCAAGTTGAAAGAGTATCCAACCACATGCCTGAAACTGGCCAAAGCTTGGGTCCTCAATGATTAATTTTATAGCCCAGTCTTACTCTTTTTGTAACAGCTGTGCCATTCTACCTGTCTAGCTTGGCAGGGCTCGACACTAACTTTACAACTTACTAGCCAAGTGGCTTGTGAGATCTCAGATGTTTTTAGATGTTATGAAAATTTCAGTCTGTTCACTAGGCAAACTGGCTAGTGGAAATTGAAAACCACTCGCACAACTGAATTTCTACTAGTCTGTGGCTAGTGGGCTACCGTTAGTGTTGAGCCCTGCTTGGCCAGGAATTTTACCTCTGGAACAGCATTAGAGTGCCTAGTTCAATACCATCATGTATATCAATACCTGTTGCCTAACTTGTATTGACTGTGATGATAACAAATTATGCTGAATGACTTGAAGGACTGCAAAAAAAAAATTTTTGAATCAAACCAGGAATACACAGTAGATTGCAACTATTAATAGCTTACACAGAAGGAAATTAAAAATACATATTAGATAGAAAAAATGATAAATATATCTCATTAACCAAGCGCAAGGGCCGTACTGGGAGAATATTGGCCTGAGGTCTTGACAGTACGGACCGAGCACAGCTGACACAAAATACGGGCTGAGCGCAGCTCAGTCCGTACAAAAAAGACCGAGGGCCAATATTCTTCCTATACTGTCCTGAGCAAGCTTGGTTAATAAGAGATTTATTATACGAATGAAGTTCAAAGGGACACAACTGCGGTGTCATTCGGGACCATTCGGGACAGTGCCCGGTCCAATACTGAGAGAATATTGACCGGCAATTGGGCATTTTGATTGGTTGATTTTAGTTATTGGCCCTCTGACTGCCCGAGTCGTGTAATAAGATCTGTTACACAACATTTAGAGGCCAATACATGTATAACAGCACAACTAGTTACATTTACAACTGTCTTGATTATTACCTTGTGACACCCCATTCTGCAGTTCACCTCGAAGAGTTGACTTTCTTCCAATTGGAAAATCTCCTGAGTGAAACTATTAAAGAAAAATCAATCAACATTAAGTTACTCTGATAAAGGGCTGGGCTAGAGACATCTGCTTTAAAAACTCTTCACAGTGGCCAATTTACGTTAGTTATCAACTCAGTTGATAAAAAACCAAATTATTGTGTAACAGTAATAGCACATGTATACCCCCCCCCCCAAACAATGCAAAATAGTTCTTTGGAAACTTTCCCCCTTAGTTAAGGTATGATTGGCTTTGGTTTGAAAAAATGAGTGAAAGCTTTCTCAACTACTAAAAGAGATTGCCTCCCCAATTGGTAAAGCTCTAAGGTCAGCACACATGAGGGGACTAGTCCCTGTGACTAGTCCCTACAACAAGTTGCAGAGACAAGTCCTATAGTGTGAACTGGCCATTTTAACTGCAAAATCTAGTTGCAGGGACTAAAATTTGGTCCTTATGACTGGTCCCACGAATTCAAACTGGCTTAAATTTTAGGAACAAGTCCCTGCAACTTGTTCCTCAAAACCTTTTGTGTCAACTGTTCATGGGACAAGTCCCTGCGACCAAATTAAAAATAAACCAATCACAGATCGGTGTCACAATGTACAGAAGCAACTGTGTGACTTCTGAGATAATTTCTTTGATGTTTCCTCCCTGGGATTAAATCAGTTTTAAATTGATTTGCATGTCTTGAGTACTAGAAACTTTGATCAAATTTTCACCCCTTTCTGTTTCTGTGTTGGCCACATCTGATCAGTAACAGTGTTATTTTCCGCTTATACTTGAACTGAATCAGAAACAATTCAAGCACTGAATTATTTCGCTGAACAATCTGCAATTACTGAGCCGATTTATTTCAGTGCTACATTGCTATTTCAATAATTTGTTTGCTTAAAAAAGCCACAGAGTGAAAGAATGATACCGTTTTTCCCCAGTTTTTGCTACTTTCCTTTGCAATTGGTCCCCGCATGTAAACACTACTAGGGACTAGTCCCTGCAACCAGTCCCTTTGTATAAACTCTTCAGGGGACTAGTTGCAGGGAATTGTTGTACAGAATAGTCCCCTTATATGTGCCAATCTTTACACTTAGCTATAAGCGTGAGGGGTGAATAAAGGTGTTATCAATATCATCTTAATTATTATTACTATTATAATTATGAATGATTTTTAAGCATAGTTTTGGAAATGGATTTTGGTTCTAGCAATAGATTATTTTAATTGATAAAATTTTTTCAAGAAAGATTGGTATTACAGTAACTATATTCCTGATAACTAATTAACATATCAAGTATCATTACATATTATTATTATCACTGAGGAGTGATTTTCATGAATTTTTTTCAAATTAATGCAGAATCAAGTATTAGTATTAAACTTACTTATAAAAGTGTTATTAAAACTAAATTGAAAATTACCCTAAGATAAAAAGTTTTAAAAAATATCTTGCCTCCTCTGGTAACACTGTAAGAACTTCCAGCATTGCCATCGACCACATTCCATTCTAAAAGCATTGATAAAGATTGTTTGTTTAATCATTCATAATTATGTACATGTATACAGTTTGGCCAGTAAACAAACTGAAATTACTAGAA